TGTCAATTGAAATGGACTTACAAAGGTTACATTTGTAATTTTAAAATAGTAATTATAAATAATTTAATTTAACATTAAATAGTAAGATTAATTTTATCAATTCATAATTCAACCCGGTGACCAAATGGGGCAATTTGATTACTTTTGTTAGTTTAGGAGTTTTATAATTCTATTGGGGGGTCTTATGCACAATTTTGAAAGTACAATGAGGTTTCGTAATTTTAACCCTAAATTTTATTTTCAGACTACTAATTCAATTCTTGCAAATAAAAATTTTAAATTCCATCCATGTTTAAATCTTATTTGTAGTTAGCTTGAAAGTGCTCAAGGGATTTTTTTAAGTCCTGGCAATGGTTAGAGGGGAGGGGGATGATGGGTGTGGGAATCATAATTTTTTGACGATGAAGGGATCGGCACATTTCTTATTTTTCATATATATATATATTTTTGGATAAATAAGATTTATATTAGTAAAGAAAACAATTTATATGCATTAAGGGACTGAGCATAACGTCCATCCCCCAAAGAATTGCATTTAAGAGGATTCAAATGATAGACCTAATACTTTTTGAGGTACCACGATTAATTAACTTACTTACTTTAGCCGATCACATTATACTTGATTATTATTTGCTATTACAATACTGGGACAAAAATATCTTTTCAGGCTTTCTAATTAAAGGTAAATTTGAGTTTTTAGTAAATTTTAACCGACGTCAATCCACAATACTGACCGATTTTAAAACTATAGGGAAGATTAGTGTTATTTTTGAAAATAAAAGAGATGTCTTTGTTAAATTGTTATTAGGCATTCAATAGAGAAGGTTAGTGTAATTTACTAAAAAATGTAAAGTCATACATTAAACAATATACAAAAATTTACATGAATTGAATTATAATCTACGTTACCAACGAGCCAGTGGCCCAGGTACCAAGTTCCTATTTTTTAAAGAAAATTCAGAGATTCAAATTTTAGTAGAGACATTAAAATATGAGTACCAAGTACTAACTAAGAAATAAAAAATTATAATCTACGTTGAAGGTAAAAAAAACTCAACAAATAATTTTTACTATGCGGATAACAAATAAAGGTTGTAACTTTGTAAGTTATCAAGCTTCATACTCCCTATTCGGCTTTTAGTGTTTTAGCACTCCCATTAGCACTACAAATCCTCAATTGCTATCTAAAAGCAAGAGAGAAATAAACAAAGATGGAAAATAATGCTAATCCCTTCCTCTCAAATAATTTAGCCTTTATGTAGAGTCTCCTAACCTATGAAGCACGGACACGGATACGGGACACGGGTACGATACGATACGGATACGGCGACACGGCAAATTTCAAAAAAATAGGACACAAACACGGCGGGAATACGCCTATAAAATTATATATATATATATATATATATATATATATATATATATTCAAAATATAATTACTAGAATCTTGTACAGATAAATAAAACAACAACAAAGAACAGAATCAATTTCAATAATTTCATCTCTGTTATAAGAAAAATATAGACAAGACAAAATAGAAAATAAATGAAAAATAAAGTTGATCCAAATTCTAAACGAAGATGTGCAGAAGAGACATAGCTATAATGAATGAAATATGTATATGAATAAACATATATACTTTCAGTCTTTCATAAAGTTTTGTTCATGTAACTTATTTATATATATATATATATATATATATATATATATATATATATATATCTTGTTCATGAAGAGAGATAATTGAAGAAGAGGAGAGACTGAGAGAGGAGTGAGAGAAAATAAATTTTGTCTCACAGAAGTGTCGGACCGTGTGTCCGAGCCTCGGACATGTGTGTCCAATAAAAAATAATATTTGGACACTTTATAGAAGTGTCGGACATGTGTCCGAGCTTTGGACACGGGTGTCGGTGTTTGAAAAGTGTCCGATACTGGTACGGGGCCCCTGAAAGGAGTGTCCGTGCTTCATAGCTCCTAACTATTTTAGCCATATTTGGCTTTACTACAAGAAAGAAAATTTACTAAAAATAAAAGATACATAATTTAGAAAAGTTTTCGAAAAGCACTAGTGACTGCATCACTCTTATATTGTTTTATTATTACATTTTTATTTATTTTTTAAATCTTGGTAGGAGATACACTCAAAGGATCGACAATGTTTAACACGATATATTAACACGGTACAAAATAAGTGGATTTGGGTTTGGCTTAATAGTGTTTGTGCAGTGTCTATCTGAATTGACACAATAATTAGTCATGTCGTATTCGTGTTTGACTTACCAATTCATTTATGACCCGATTAAACCATTTAAAAAAAACATGCCAGATAAAATTAATATATGATATATTTGTAATTAAAATTAATAGTATATAATATATTTATAGGAAATATATAATATATAAATCATGAATAAATCATTATTATTTTTTTAAATGTATATCACCAATTAATCACATATTCGTTTACTAAGTCTATCTTCTTCTTCTTCTTTTTTATTTTTTTTAATCTAATTAAATATATCTATTTATATCTATATCTATGTTTATACTATTAATAAATTTCTATAGTTCTATATCAATAGTAGAGATTGTTTTGTGCGGCTAAAGTGTGATTTATCTTGTGGCTACAGAGAATTGTCAGATCCCTGATCCCTAAGCGTGTTACGTGTAAACTAAAGTGGTTTATTGTTACCCGGATATTTATTCCACAACCAATGGAGATAGAAAGTGAAAGGGATATAAATGGGTAGAGATGTACCATTACTTAACAAATTAAATTTTTAGATAAATGGGCAAGCGCCCACCCATTATAGTTGATATCGAGATCAGATTCAATCTTTGATCCGGTGCCACACTAAGCGCCCCTGGAAGGCATCCGGCGAATAAGAAAGGTGGCACAACTCTAACGAGGGCGTTGCGAATTCCAAGGTATTTGTTCCACACGTTACATCTTTTACTAAGTTACACATTTTCAAGTCCTTATGAAATTACATTTTTATTATTCCACACTTATATAAATAATGCATAAATAATATATGTATAATTAAAACTAATAGTGCATAATATATTTGATAATTCTTTAGTGATAAAAATTTGTGATAATAACATATTGATTAAAAGTTATATAAGATCTTTTTTTTTTAAATTTTTTTCCTTAGAATAAATTGAGAAGAAAACATTTTTTTTATTCAATATATATCACAATCACATATTATATTTTAATTAATCTGTGATTTTTTTATATTTTTATATTTTTTTGTCTTCACATTTTTCATCAATATTCAACCATATATATATAAAAGCGCACATATATATAGCGAACTATATATATATAAAAGCGCGCAGACACACACACATATATAGCCCTTTAAATTGCAGTAATCACCCCGCCGGCCTCCAACTATATATATATAAAAGCGCGCGCGGACACACACATATATATAGCCCTTTAAATTGCAGTAATCGCCCCGCCGCCCGCCGCGGGGGGGGGGGTTACATACAATTATCAAAACAATTATCAAACTTGCCCCTACACCCATTTAAGTGATACGAAATTTGTTTCATTAGGGGACTGGGCAGACGAAATCCCACCAAATTAGAAGAAATTGTCATCCCTAAATTCAAGCCCAAATCAACTTGTTCAGAGTCTCCCAAGAATATTTGATCATAGATAGACTAGCAATTAAAGAACTGGAGCAATGCCTTTATTGTATCTAATGACTATTTGACAAAAACTTACATCATTTATGATTAAATTGATTGTGTTTGTACTTATGTAAACTAAAACTGCAAGGTCTGTTTTATTGCATGTAATGACTAAAATTTAACATCATTTATAATGATGGGTCGATAGTGTTTGTAGTTATGTAACCTAACATTTTATGCTTATGGCCAGATGTGTTTAATTATATATGTATTGTGGTTTAACTATTCAGTCACTGACTAATCTTATGTGCATTAATTGGGTCAAATAGTGATATAAATTTAAATTTAAATTTAATAAATAAACAAACAGTCCATTAATAAAGTTGTCAATGTCTAGTATTTTTTTTTAATTTTTTTTTTATTTTGTCTCTCTCTAAATCATAACAGTATATATATATATATAGAGAGAGAGAGTACTAATACGTCTTGGCACAACTTACTAAATAATAAAAACTTCTATTTTCTATGATTAAGTTTGAATTTTAAAGACAATACCAAAAGGTTCATTGGACTTTGAAGAGTCAAATAATTTATTTCACAAATCATCTATAATTTCTATAGATAAGTAATCATAAATGAGAACTTTATAAAATTTTGGAGAAAAATGATTCTTGTATCGATTTGTTACATAGTTTTATGTTTTTGGAATCGGGATCGAATCCAACAGTAAAAAATTTGAACTAAACTGACCTATCTTGTTTGGTCCGATACTGGTTCAACCATTTTTTTACACACCAATCTAATTAATTAATTATATTAAGAAGTCTTAACTACTAGTAAGTATTTCAGATAAAAATAAATAAAAAACTATATATTATGTGTATATATATAATAGTTGATCATAATCACATTCCCGCCCAAAAAAAAGAGGAAGAAAGGTTCCCAAAAAAAATAGATGATCATAATCTTTCTCTTCATCCAATAAAGTAGAGTTATACATCCAATAAAAACCATCCATATATGGTAACTCCTAAGAAAGAATAAGCATTATCACTAGTCCAAATTCATTTCCAAGAAAAGTAAAATTAGTAATACTTAAGCAATAAGCCATTAATACCCCAAGCTCCATGAGAGATGGAGAATGAAAACCTTAATATATTAATATTAACACACACTTTTCGGATATCCACTCATACTCTAGTAAATTAATTATGGTTGCCCAATAAAAGAACCATGGAAGCTCTACTTCAACCATGCAAACCCTACCCACTCCTCCTCCTTCAATCAATCAATAAACAACAAAGACAACAACAACAAGTACCAAAGAAACAACTACGTCCTCCTCCTCATCATCCATGGCTTTCAAGAACTACTACATCTCTCTTCTTCTCTCTCTCATCACCATCTTCTCTCTCCTCACTCTCTCTGATCAAACCAATCTCAAAACCACCCACCCCCACCACTTCACCCGGCCCCGGCCCAAGCAAAAGTTCGGTTTTATGACCTTATTCACCCCCTTCACCCACTTCCCCTCCTTCAGCGTGAGGCCCACCGACGACACCCCTTCCCCCACCACCACCACCACCACCGACGACACCCCCACCACCACCGCCTCCGACGCTGCCACCACCACTGACGCCACCGACAATGTGGCTCCGAATGATGAGCCTAGGGCACCGAAACTACCGGATGGGGAATGGGTACTTCTTCACAAGAGTGTAGGCATATCCGCCATGCACATGCAGCTCATGCATGACAACAAGGTGGTTATCTTCGACCGGACCGACTTCGGAGTCTCCAACCTCAGCCTTGCCAGCGGCCAGTGCCGCCACAACGACGCCATTATTTCTGTGGACTGCTCCGCTCACTCACTTATCTACGACCTCGCCACCAACACCTACCGCCCCCTCACGCTACAGACCGACGTCTGGTGCTCCTCCGGCGCTGTCGACCCCGAAGGCACCCTTGTACAAACAGGCGGATTTCAAACCGGCGACAAGAGAATCAGATTATTTACTCCATGCAAGGATGGGGAATTATGTGATTGGGCCGAATTGCCCCAAAACTTAACCGTCCGGCGGTGGTACGCCACCAACCAAATCCTCCCGGACGGACGGGTCATCATCGTCGGAGGCCGAGCACAGTTCAACTACGAATTCTATCCGAAGAAACCGAAAGAGCTCTATAAGCTCCCGTTCTTGAGAGAAACATCTGACCCATTTGAAGAAAACAATCTATACCCATTCGTGTACCTCTTGCCGGACGGCAACGTCTATATCTTCGCGAACAACCGGTCCATTTCGTACGATTACGTGAATCACCGGATAATTAAAGAGTTTCCGGTGATCCCGGGCGAAAAGAGGAGCTACCCGGCAACCGGAGCGTCGGTGCTGCTGCCTATCCGGTTAACCGGCGGGAACACCAGGTCGCCGGAGGTGGAGGTGATGATATGCGGTGGCGCAAATGGTGGCGCTTACTTGACTGCAGAAAAGCACAGGAAGTTCGTGGAGGCATCAAAAACATGCGGGCGCTTGAAGCTTACGGATCCCAAACCCCAGTGGGTGATGGAAGAAATGCCCATGCCACGTGTCATGCCGGACATGGTGTTGTTACCGACCGGTGATATAATTATCGTCAACGGCGCGAGTAATGGTACGGCCGGGTGGGAGGACGCTCGCGGGCCGGTTCTAAACCCGCTTATTTACATGCCAGGTGAGCCCGACCCGGGTAGGAGATTCAGTGTACAAAAGCCTTCGACAATACCTAGGATGTATCACTCCACTGCGCTGTTGTTGCCAGATGGCAGGGTATTAGTGGGTGGGAGTAATCCTCACTCTGGGTACAACTTCAGCGGAGTGCTGTTTCCAACCGAGCTGAGCCTGGAAGTGTTTCTGCCCCATTACTTGGGCCCACAGTACGATAATCTCCGCCCTACGATCGTGTCTTTGGACGATTTAGATAAGGTGGCAACGTACGGTCACAAAATGGCGTTGAAAGTGAAGTTGAATATGTACCGTCAAGATCTGGGGTTCAGTGTGGCGATGATTCAACCGTCGTTTGCGACGCACTCGATCGGGATGAATCAACGGCTGTTATTTCTTGATGTTGTTGATGTTTCTAAAGCGGAGAAGGATGAGTATAAGGTTTTTGTGAATGCGCCAGCATCGCCGAATCTTGCGCCGCCGGGATATTATATGCTGTTTGTGGTCCATAGTGGAATACCTGGGCAAAGTATTTGGATCAAGATTAAATGATGATGAGGATGATGAAGATAAGATCAATTTTGGTAGTTTAGGGTCTACGAATTTTGTGGGTGTGTTTCGTGGGCCCTAGTTTTCATGATCATAAGTAGAGACATGGATGTAAATTTATTCCCTCAGAAGCCGTCTCCTTGGATATGTCCAAGTGGGGTCTAAATGGTCTTTTTACTTGAATGTATTTTAAAAAGAGAGGCCTTGTTCGATTCTCTCTTTCTGTATGAGAAAATAGTTTTGCTTTTACTTTGTTTTTGATGTAATAATTATTTCATTTGGTGTAGCAAATAAAATATATATTTTTAATTTTTTTATAGGTAAGTTTGAGTCCATGTGAGAGAGTGATATATTCCATGGAGTACCAAAAACATCTCTTAGAACTTGAGAGGAAACAAAAAGTCAAAAGACCACAAATAAAAAATACAAAAATGCAAGTATTCAATAGCTCTCCATATTTAGACAAGCATGAGATTTAATTAGGAATAGCAGCAGGGCGGGGCGGAGATGTCATTTCCCATCCCCATTCTCATTGAATTTTTCAATCTCTATCCCTGCCTCCACCCCGGCTTAAAATTTTACCACCACCCCCATACCCTCCCCGACCCCTTATTTCCAGCCTTACTCCATCCCCGGCCCCGATTAACATATATTATTTTTTTAAAAAAACATAATTTTTCTTATTTTCATATATATACTGAATCTAATTTAGTAATAAATTATTAAATGTAAGAGTATATTAGTAATTTCACACTTAATCGGGGGCGGGAATGGGGAATTTGCCATCCTAGATTTAATGGTATGTCATTTTATTTTAAAAGTAAAAAATGTAGAGTTCAAGTTTAAGTAAAAAAAAAAAAAGAAAAAGAAAAACAAGTTACTTAATTCAGATTTGTAAGAACAAAATTTTTTTCTTCAAAGAACTAAAAATTAAAAATACAATTTTTTGAAAACTCAATTATAAAAAGTCTTTTAAAACATATTTTTGTTTTTTGAATTCTTAAAAATTATTTTTTAAATTTAAACCAAACAAGACCCTAGTTCATTGTTTTTTTTTTCAATCCTATGGAAAACTTTTATCTTATTAAATAAGTAGTAGTACAGGTATTTGACCAATTAAAATTTGGCATCGCTTGTAAGTGTCAATAGTCTTGAGTGATTGAGTTGCTTTCCCTAATATTCATGCCCTAAAAAAAACACTTGGCATCACTTTAACTTTTTAAAATAATTTGGTCTATACATATAAATATTTAAATAGCGTGACCCTTTCAATATGGAAACATGATGATGTCTAAGTGTAAATGATTTTTGATAATTTAAGGGAGAAATCATCCATGAGAAGAACCATGAAGTCAACCTTATGATAGAGGTACTAAAAATTCTCTCCTCATCCATGACTCTGTGTGGAGAATAATATAATTTAAGGGTGTGCTAGTAGCGTACCGAGTCTAGTCTTATTCATTTGTAATGTATTATTTTTTATATTAAGCTGGTGTTTCAGAGTTTGACCTTGTTTTAAATTAGTCATGTGGGTAGAAATGGCAACGAGGTTGCGTATTCTATTGCTAAACTCTCTAGATGCAATGGTTGTACAGACACAGTCTTGGTCCATATTCCTGCGGACATCTACCTTCTTGTCGAGTAGGACATGTATAGGGTGAGGAATGATTCCTATTTTCTGTAATTCCTGTTTGCATGTTGTTTGTCATGCTAAAAAAAAAAAACCTTCAAGTACTCTGGAAGACTATTCTATGAATTTTTAATTTTAATTTTAATATTTTATTTAAACCAAAAAACCTTTTAAGTACTCTAGAAGACTATTCTATGACTATTCTATTGGAAGGGCTTGAATTTTGCGCCTCTGGAATATTTTTCATCTTTTGGGCTTTGAAACAAGGCTTCAACTCTGCAGAAGACATATAGGCATCATCATGGTCTATTTTTATTTGGGTATTTACTCCAATCCTCTATCATTTCTTTCTAAATAATGCCATATTGTTGTGTCTAATTTTCTGTTTTTGTTTTAAGTGCTAACAATAATAATAATAATCAGAAGTAAAAGTTAGTTTTGTTGTTATATTTGTTATTTTGATGTTTACCACAACCCGAAAAATAAAAAAATTAAGAATAAAAATAGGGCTTATTGTGAATCACATTCTTGACCAACCCTTCACACACACACACACACACACATATTATATATATAAAATATCATTTTGTGACTTTAGACAATTAGAATTATAAAAAAAAAATGACTAATGCAATTGACGAAACAAAATTTTATTGAACCGAGTTAGAATAATTCTTTAAAAACTGTACAAGTACAAATTGGCCTTAGACTCTTAAGGCCCCAAGCCCATTTTGTTTTTAACGTGTATGGACCACCTCATAGTCTCATACAGTTTACACAAAAAGGAAATTACTGTTTTCAGAGGGGTAGAAATAGAAAAATTCTTTAATGGAGAAGCGGGGTATCGATCCCCGTACCTCTCGCATGCTAAGCGAGCGCTCTACCATCTGAGCTACATCCCCTTTGCTAAAGCATCCATTAGAAACTATATAAATAACTAGTAGTAATAAATTTAGTATGAGCACTTGGAGAGAAAGGGTATTGTATTTTACTAATTAATATTTACGTATTAAATTAGAGTATTTCTATTTTCTTTCTTATTCATTTTCTTGGAGCAAAATATTAGGAAAAAAAACAAAGAAGGTTACTTCTATTTCTACTATTATAGAAAAGAATATAATGTGTCCAAAGGATGATGAATTTAGAGTTTTGAAATTTATTATGCATCTTTCCATGAAGTCCAGTGACATGTATTGTCACATTTTCTAACGACACATTTTCTAAGGAAATAAGGTTGTGCTCGGTTGTATGGAATTGAAGCATTGGAATTGAAAAAAAAATTTAGTTCAATTTTCCGAGTTGCTTTTATCCAATTCCACCAATTTCAATTTCAATTTCAAAACTCCAATTCTGATCAAAGCCTAAATCAATTCCTTATCCAATTCCTCACCATAAGGCCTCCACTCTTGAGCACCCAAAAATCAAGTGACATAGAGGCTCAGTCCAAACATGGCATAGATATGGGTTACTGTTTTACATGTTTCATTTGATATAACCTTTCTTCAATCCGGAGCTAGAAGATATGAATGGAGTTTCTATGTCAAATTGATAAATCGCTCTGCTGAATTCATTTAATGCATTGGAAGCCTTCTGAATTTCAGTAATGTTACATTGCAACATGCCTATTTTTTTGGCTGATGCCTTATTGACTGCTCTGTGCCCCACTCATCTTTTGCTTCTGTATTCATGATGGTAATGAAGAGCCCTATCAAACAAAGATTAGATACTAAAATGTGTGTCCTTTTGCTTTGGAAAGTAGATCATATACCGCGATGAGGAGTGGTTTGTTTACGAGTAATCTGTTAAGGAATTTAAGGCTTTCAGTTGGGGCTTTGATGTGCTCCATCGATTCAACATTTGCTTCCTCACCATCCTTTCTGGCAGGGGTTGGAGAAGAAGAGGTGTGGCCATGCTTGCAATCGCATTGCTTGGGGGCTTCTTTTTATGCAAGTGTTTAGTGTGGCAGCAACGAACACCTGCTCAATACCAATATGTTATTGACATGGCTTACTCGGGAGGGATGAGCTAGGAACTTGCTATTATATAGGAACTTTACACACTGCCAAGTAATGACATCGGGAATATTAATGACATCACGATCAGCCCCACTCACAATAATCAGACAAAGTTGTCCGACTTTCAGACTCCTAGATAATGGCTTTAAGCTCCATGCTCCAACCAGTTTGGCATCACACAGGATTTCAAAACACAATTCAAACAATGCCACATTTGAGTCAATAGATGACAAATTGCCCTTGCTTTTATAGTTGAAGCAACACAATGTTACTGCCATGTGATACAATGTAAACAGTGAACAGACATTGGATAGAGACTATTGTTTAAGAACTGTGGCAGGTTATTGTATGCATACATACTATACCTACATTTATGAATGTATATATAATTGCAAGTAGACTTCCACAAGGTATCTTGTTCCTGTAAAAGGGTGAATAGGTGAGGACGATTGCAATCAACAAAAATATTGTCAAAGCTTTGTTGTCCTCAATCCACCACTATTGTCACTGCAATTAGACCACCCCATGAGAGTCAGAGGACAAAGTAGTTGGAGAAAGCCGATCTTTGCTGCCTTCCCCGTGCTATGTTCTTATCAAATTTGATCATTTAATGCCTCCAACGCCCAGCGCCACTAGATAGAGGCCTATGAACAACATTGCTGCCTTGCCACTTGCATGCCAGTGGCTTTAGGGAAGGCGAGTGAGCTTGCACTGTGAGTATGACCAAGCCCTGTTCCGAAAAACAAACTTTGCTTAAGCCATTTCAAAGTGAATTTTGACCTGTGATAAACTGATAGGATAACAAAGACAAGTATGTGAATGTTCAAACTCAAAGTTATGTGCATGGAAGTTAAAAGTTGAGGAATGTCATTGGACCATTGAATATCCAGATTCAATCTCAGCTCAACTTTGGGAAGAGCTAGCCTTAAAAATCCTATATCCACACTATCCATTAAGGCATAGTGGGCTTTCTACTAGCCCAAATTCGGCTCCGTCTTGAGAGGATCATCGGGCCATCGATTGCACCAGGCCTAGAAAATATAGAAATTGCCTCAATTTAGCTGCCTAACTAAAAAGATGCTTAGTAAGGGCACAGTGTATTGATTTATATACTGGTGATCATATCTAACAGCTCTTGGTTTCTATCCTTTTTTTTTTTCCCTTGGGAAGAAACTGACTCACCAGTTTGCCCCTAATAAGGGACTCAAACCCTCCCCTTTTGTTTTGGGAGGTAGAGGACATACCGCTGGACTAAAGCCCTTGGTGGTTAGTTTCTATCATTTTAATCATCTATTCATATCAACAGCTCTTGGCTTCTATATGATTATAGCAACTCAATCTAGTATATGAGAGGCATCAAAGGGAGGACTATAACTTCCATCTCATTGACATTCTACAAATTATATGTTATATTACAGAACAGTATGCACATGGTTTACTTAACTTACAACAACAACCACCACCAAAAAAAAAAACAAAGGATGAAGAAGAGGACCAAAGACCTTCAATTTTTGTCACTATTTTGCAACTATTTCTAATTTTTTCCTTTAACTAGAATAATCATGTCAGGACTCAATTCAAAGTTGAATATTTGAAGTTTTTGAACTCCCTATCTAAACTTTGCTGCTTCTCTTCAATCATAATTTGCATTGACCACGAAAAAAAGAATCGAGAATTTAAACAAGAAAAGTTTTGAGTTGGTATAGGATGTTAAGGCTTCAACTCTCACAGTAAACTTTCTACTCCACCATTTATACACCTGTGACTAGAATTGCCAAGGAAAAATCAATTTTAGATGTTCTCAAATGTACCTAAATTAGACGAGACATTTGACTGAATTGTTGAGGACTTTAGTCCCACACATTCGATTATAAATGACTATTGCCATTAGCTATTGCTTTGTATTATTTCATCAATGTATCAGAAATGGATTTCATACTGCACCAGTTTGGGACTACTGTACTTTCTATCTTAGATATCATCTTTCATTAATCTCTTCAATGATTCCTAATTGGTAACGCTAAACAGAAGGCATGTAATATGGCTGTGAGGACCGACAGAATCTTCAATTTGGACCTCTGACTCCTGATTGCAGAAAAATAAAGGCATGCAATATGGATAAAATGGCCGATAAACTTGTTAATCTATATATATATATATTCCCAGTTAACTTGTTAATCTATATTAACACTTCCTAGAGACGATCAAAAGCTCTCTTTCTCTTTCGTGCACATAAGTAGATATGAACCTGAAAATGGTCTATGTTTATAGAACATGTGGTACTACAAATATAAAGTTGTAAACAGAATGAAATTGTGCAAAAATATCAAATTGATTCAACATCTAAATGGCAAATGAAAAGGCAATATATCGATGCAGAAACAGTAATCTTACAAAAAATTTAGAAATTGCTGCACAGAAACTGAATGGAAAGGATTAGTCAATTGATAGGGCAATTGTTTCCCAAGCAACAATGTCATGTATTTTTTATTTATTTATTTTTGGGATAGGAAAATCACACCCATTATTGTGTCATACAGGGTACTCGAACAACTTTTTATTTGAAAGAGGAGGCACCCCTTGGGCTAAACCCTTTATAAGTATCCGATGAACAATATAGAATATACAAGAAAAAATCTATTTCCTCACACAATATTCCTCATATGGATCGAAAGTCAACATAAAAACTGTTACTTGAAAAGAAAAAATCAATCCATCGTCATAGATGTTTCATGCTTCAATAGGGCTAATCTAGAAGTTCTTTAAAAAGGATCCTACTTCTTCAACACCAAAAAGGGAAAAAAGTGGAAAAAGGTTACTACTTAGTACTTCATCATTTTGCTTTTGGTACACAATCTTTAGCACCAATATTAGACAAGTTACACAGAGTTAATAACTAATAAAATTATCAATAGTATACTACCCTGTGAAGGCCATAATAATTTTTTTATATGGAGAGCTTTAATTCTCTGTTTCCATTTGCTCATGAACTCAAATTTACTTCTATTTTCTAATTAGTACCCCCGATTCTCATGTCATATATCGTGTGATACCTTATACGGAGTATTTGGTAGCTATATTTTTGTATAATACAGAATGAACAAATGTACTGACAGTTCTCATTTCAAATGTAGACACTTCTGTTCTACACTTGTGCACGTCGTTTTTTGAACACTGCGCTTATTTTCTTCAACAACTGCTGATGTTGATGTAGGGTTGTTTTTTTGGAGTACTCAGCTTTTGATGGTTATGCATGATTTTCAACGTTACAGAATATGGACATAATGAAAGTTTTGGAAATGTGCTTTGAAAAATATACATTCCTGTTGAAAAAAAAAGACAATTCTTGTCTGTAAGACTGTAACTATCCTTCAAATAACTCGAGTTAAATTGCTACTCTACTAAATAGTTCAATGATAGCTTATCAGAAACAAAAGAATTTATCGTATTCAAAAAGATTTCTCTAATATGATGATATAAGCAGAATGAAGTTTCACCACACAAACAATTAAATCAAACTCTGATCAAGTTAGCAAGAAAGTCTTTGCTGGGAATTTCTATAGTAATGTTCGTACCAACGAGCATTTTTTTTATGGTGGATGCAAAACAGTGTCTTGAGATATAGCGGATCAAACTTATTGTTCATGCCTATCAAAATTCTTACTAGACAAATAGAATAACAGAAAAGGAGAAAACAAATTCTGCCCTCTCTGTTCTTCACAGCCTTGCTAAAATGCTACCTTATCCGGCTCTCCATCTTTCATTCGGTCAATATCTTTCTTTGTATGAGATTAAGGCAAGGATGATCATGAAACATAGAGAAATAGTGCACGTGTATCATGAAAAACGTAATTTTCATTAAATAAAGTTCCTAAAACATCTGATGCTAATTAACGGGCCAGTGGCCTAGCGGTATCGGCCTCTTACTTCCCAAAGGGAGGTCAGAGGTTCAAGTCTCAAAAGAGACATTTGTGTGTGAGTACCAATTAGGAAAAAAGTAAAAAAAAAAGAAAAAAAACATCTGATGCTAGACTATGTACTCCTAGTGGTGATAGCCCTTACTTTTTCAATATGACCTCATTCTAGATGCCATGCAGTGTATCTTGAACAACAATGAAGAATTAATGAGCCACAGCTTTCAATGATAAGCTTGAACGAGAACTAATTTGATGTCAACTTGTGTACTATAAGATGCTTAATTTTACGTTGGAAGAGCAAAATTTCAAAAACAAAAAGCAATCCATGGAAGTAAAGCAACCCTACTGAATTTGACAAAAGAGATGGGGGACCTCATACTCTACCTACCATAGAGACTTTTATCGCAATCACCATGTTGCTTGCAAGAAACAAAATCAAGTAAGAGAAGCGCACATAAAAGTCATCTCTTAAAAGCTTTCTACATAGAATATGAGGGTGGACAAAATACTTACTCTGCCTCCAGGAATCTTTTTTTTTTCTCCTCATCTCAAGAATTCATGGAAAAGCAAGGTTGATGATGCGCATCCCCAAATGCTGCCGTTGAATTCATGCTCCAAACCTACACGCCATCTTGTACTTAGCTGTTTTTCATTAATCAAACCTTGACTAACCATAACCATAATTATATATTTATAAATAAACACGAACGTGTAATATAAATGAGTCATTACTTTACATAATGGTAAAAGTTCGGATTGACAATGACAAAAATGCGGTTTGCATCTAGAGCAGCCACTTTATGTAAAATCATCCAAATGTTAGTTCTTAGTCTTCCCCCTAAAACCTACATACAATGGGCATTGCCCAAAACCCGTAGAGCGATTCAAATGAATCAAGAATTATTACAACGCCGTTAGAATGAAATACAAGATTAATTAGAAAAGAATTAATCCAAAAAAAGTACATCCCCATACTATTGCTCTGCCTTTTATGTCATGATAAAAAGCAGAAATAGGAAGGGGAACACCAAGTGGGTTTTTCATGACATAAAAGGCGGAGCAAGACCATGGCGATGTACTTTTTTGGATTAATCATACTCTCTCTCTCTCTCTCTATATATATATGCATTGCTTTCACAATGTATTCACGTAGTTTGTTCTTAACAACTGAGAAAATCTACATTTACACATTTATTCAAACAGCTGCTGAGCGATCTTGATGAAATTCCCAAATGTGCATGTGTAGCAATAATACTACTTCATGTACACAATTAATGGTTAAAACCACAAACTCAAGCAATAAAATTATGAAGAATTTATCACCAAGACCTTCTAATAAATTTCAAAGGCAACACCTACAACATTGTCATGCTAAGTCACACAAGGCAGGAGCGGGAGAGGGAGACACGGTGCAAGAGGTGGAGCACAAAAATGGCAAAATCTAAATCACACAAACTTTTAAGAGCGAGAGTGAGAAAACATTATCAATTTTAAAAAATTATGTGACCGAGAATATAGAGAACTTTGTAACCGTTGCAACGTTCAATAACGGAATAAGCCGAAGGGAAAAGCATTTGTCGTCAATTACTCCTAAAAAAGGAAAAAGGGGGTGTTTTTCTGCAGGGTGATACTATTCCTGACCAGAATAACATGTACAAAGAAAGGTTATTCTTTTATCAATTTGGGTAAAGTACAGTCACACTCCTTGAGATTTGACAAAAGAACACTTAGAAGAAACTTATTTATTTTTTTGGACAAAGATACCCCCTAAAGGTTAAAAAATGGATAAAAATACCCCTTTACATGATAAATTGACCAAGTTACCCTTTGACGTTTATGAGACTTTTTTAACTTTACAATTTAATAAATTGGACCAATCTACTCTCATGAACAATTTATGCATTAAAAAAAATGTAATAAAAAAAGGCTTTATATTGTTCACTTTTTTTATTTTTTTTATTTACTTTATAAATGTCACAACTTCTTAAAAATGTAGACGTCTAAAATAATTTTTTGCTCCAATACATATATTTCAAATAAATTATATTTTGTTATTACTTCTTTTCTTTTTCTTTTTTCTTTTTAAATTAAGATGTTTAATTCTTTCATCTAAAAAAATTAAACCAATCTCTTTTCCTTAAAAATAAAAAATATGGTACCAGTATAACTTTATGCATCTTAAATTATATATCAAATATTATGCATTTCCCAATATAAAAGGGGAAAAAAAGAAAAGAAAAAAAAAGGCATGGATAAAGTTAAGATGCATAAAGTTATACTGATATCTATTTTCTTTTATGTTGGGAAATGCATAATATTTGATATATAATTTAAGATACATAAAGTTATATTGGTACTATATTTTTTATTTTTAAGGAAAAGAGATTGGTTTAATTTTTTTAGATGAAAGAATTAAACATCTTAATTTAAAAATAAAAAAAGGAAAAGAAAAGAAGTAATAACAAAATATAATTTATTTGAAATATATGTATTGAATTAAAAAAATATTTTAGACGTCTACATTTTTAAAAAGTTGGGACATTTATAAAGTAAATAACAAACAAAAAAAAAAAAAAAAAAAAAAAAAAAAAAAAAAAAAAGTGAACTATATAAAGTTTTTTTTTTTCCTTTTTTTTATGCATAAATTATTTATGAGGGTAGATTGGTCCAATTTATTAAATTGTAAAGTTAAAAAAGTCTCCTAAATGGTCAAAGGGTAATTTGGTCAATTTTTTTTATGTAAATGGGTGTCTTTGTCTATTTTTGAACATTTAGGAGGTGTCTTTGTCTAAAAAACAGATAAGTTTCCTCTGAGTGTCCTTTTGTCAAACCTGAGGGGGTGTAGTTGTATTTTACCCATCAATTTAATATTGCACATTATAAACACGTTATCAATTTAATATGTCACATTGTAAACACGTATTCCCTACCGGAATAACGTGGTTTTCAACTTAATTTCATTAAATAAACATGTTATAAAAAATAGATTAAGTACAAAAAAATATTAATTTTTAGCATTTTATATAAAGAAAGTGACTGTCTTATTGTACAGATTTATATTCCCGCACAATCCATTATTCTGTAGCTCCAATAAGCCCCTTTGAAATTACTATTGAACTACTAAAAAGAATTATTTTCTCTTTTTATACTTTTTTTTTCTAATAATAAAGAAGTTTATGTATCCATTTACTAGTGTTTATCAGTTTAAATTATTCACGAGTGTAAATCAGAATTCAAAGGTTCAATTCAATAATTGAGAATTAATCATCATTTGATTTGGACATTAAAGATAGAGATGAATTGCCATTGATTACTTGTTTCATAGTTAATCTTTTAAAATATCCCCATTTCTTAACATGTAGTCTCTTTCAAACCAAAGCAGAAGAGAAAGAAAAATGTTCTGTCCTATCTTTATTTAATGGAAGAGAATTGTTAGTCGCAAGTGTTGATTACCAGACCGAGTCACAAGATAATAAGATCAAGTTCGTCCAATTGATTTGTAAATATGGATGTATATAACTTTAACGTTTGAAAGGAGAGAAAAAATTTGAATGAAAGAAAAAGAAGAAATGATAGCTGAGATATATTTAGGGAATTGATTGCATATTTCTTTATTTAATGCATATTTTCACTAATTTAATTATATCGTTTTTTGCTCATTCACCTATGCATTCTCAATCAGCATCTTCTCATCACAACAGATATTATCATTCCCTCTATGGCACCTTTGTTGACTTTGAAGACATTCCATTGATAAACATTGCACCCAAGGGCGGAGCCCACCCCCAAAAAAAAATTTCTTTTTTACTTTAGGCAATTTTAACCAGTCAAAAAGAAAAAAAAAAAGAAAAAAAAAAGAAAAAAGAAGAAGAAGATGAAGATGAAGATGAAGAAAGAAAGAAATAAATAAATAAAGAAAAGTATTGCCAGTATTAACCCACTCAAATAAATATTAGCACACTTCATTGACAATTTTTAAATTCGCCCTTCATCGCAGCAATGTTAGACTAAATCAATTTACTCCAATTATGGCTGCCATTGGTAGTATAACACTGCAGTTACCAGTTTCAACACTAGTGTCTAGCCCTCCTGAGTCTTCATCTTTTTCATCTGCATTTTTTACGGTTGACCTCGAAACAATTCTTAATCAAGTTTTGATTGGAATACAAGGTGCATCTAATTATTTTCTTTTTCCTATACCAGGTAAAAATTCATGTTAGTATTTTGACTCTACTTGCTGCAATGACACGACATCTGACTTCACTTTTCTTACTACTCAAGTAGTCAAACTCCTATACCTTACTAACCTGTCATACACACCAACGTTGGATCCAACATGACCAACAATATTTCTCATTCTTAATTATCTGTTTCTTATGTCTATCTTGGACAATTGTATGTACGACCTCTCTCTATATGCATACTCTCACTGCCGTTGTTGCATCTACAGAGGTTAATTTCCTTCTCTTGAGTTATGACAGTCTCGTTTAGGTCATGCTTCTTTATGTCGTGTCTAAACCTTAGCCTATAAGGGTTTATTAGGTCAAGTTAAAGTTAAAAGTGAGTCTTGTGTTTCTGCTCTTTTTGATCTTATTCGCTATGATGTTTGAAGACCTTCTCTTGTATCTACAATTTGGGTTGGTTGGGGTGGGGGGAAGAAGGGGGTTGTATTTTTTATTAAAATTTGTCCTAAGCTGCTTAACATATATTGTGATTTTGTCAAAATGGTTTCAACTCAGTTTTCTAAAAAACATCAAAACTTTTCATTTTGACAATGCTTTAGAATATAAAGAAAATGATTTATTTATTTATTTATTTAATTTATTTTTTTTCAAATACTAAAACATTATGGCATTATACCTCACACATCTTACCCAATCATATCATAGTAGAATAATCGTGATGAGTGTAAACTTCGACACATTTTAGAATCATTTCACTCACTCATTCTTTTTGCTTCTATTTCTGTCTCTTTATAGAGGGAAGTAGCTCTTACTATTGTATTCACCATCAATTGTGTACCATCATCTCTCTTGCACAACCAAATACCATATAAACACATCTTTGGTAAATTCTGATACTACAACAATCTTAGAGTTTTTGGGTGTGCTTACTTTATTCTTCTCCAACCCTACGAGGGCACTAAATTACAACCACGTGCTTAACTTTGTTGCTTTCATGGGTATGGAATTGAACATAATGAGTATCAATGCTTTGTTCCAGTCTCTAAACAACCCAAAGTCACTCGCCACGTTATCTTCTAAGAACACAATGTTTCATACGTTGTTCAAATTCAGTGTTCCTAACAATCCATTTATTGTTCCTCTAGTAGCATTCTCTATAGATATTTTTCCTAATTCTCAACCTTCATAATCATCATGAGTGGTTGATCCTCTTTCGAACGAGTTTCAATTACTTGGCCCATCTGAGATACCTAATAATACATCTACTTTAGATTTTTATTATTCTACTTGAGTCACCTGCATATCTTAGCGATTTTTATTACTATTATGTCCTTGCAACCTTACGTGAACCTCACACCTTTCGTGAGACATCCTCTAACCTTTTGTGACAGCAAGCAATAAAAAAAGAGTTAGATGCATTGGCCAAAATTCAGACATGAAATCCAGTTGATTTGCCTTCTGAAAAGTGTGTTGTTGAATGCAAATGAGTATACAAGATTAAATCTCGTTCAGATGGTAATGTTGAGCGCTACAAGGCTCTACTTATAGTAAGAGGGTTCACACGCGAATATAACATTGACTTTAAGATGACATTTGCACTTATTGCAGTTATTTCCTCTGTTCGTACTCTTATGTTGAGTGCTGGACTAAATTGGTGATGAATGTTTAGGGATTATTGCTATTCAACACATTTTAAATTCTAAATTCAAAATCACATAACAAACTAGTTAAATTTAAATTTAGATCGAAGAAGATCTCGGGTCATGCTTGTTGTGTTTTAAAATAAAGTACTATCATTATTTTAAGTGCTGAAGCATTAATTATAAATTGGGAATATTTATAATAAATAAATAAAAAAATTAAGTGTTCGCGAGGTAAGTGAGTGTACGGTCATTTAAAAACTTTACAGTGTCACTTGCCTTTTTAATTGAGTTTATCAACCAAGTAGCAGTTACCCAGAATATTAAAAACAGTTGCATAGTTTTGAGTGATACAATTTTAAAAAAAGAAAGCTAACTGCAAAAGGAACATGGCTTGCATGAGCAATTCGGCTCGAAGTGTCGGCGCCTGCTGAAATTCAGGAAGAAGAAGACAAGGAGAGTGGCGCAGAGTAGCCGGATATACACGAAAATGCTGCGGCTTCACTAAGCGGCGACCCGATATGGAGCCAAAGAGCCAACGTTGCAAGTAGAGGGGTGGCCATTCCGATACAAGAAAGGTAAAGAAAAGAAAGGAAAGGAAAAGAAAATGCAGATCCATGGGTGAGTCATCATCTCTCTCTCCCTCCCCCCTCCCTAAAAAAGGGCCGAGCGATAACGACTGATGGGACATGTTGCTTTTGTTCTCTTCCCCCTACCTATCTCCTCGTTGTCATCTACATTTTCTCTCTCATCTCAATTTACCAAAATAACCCCTGTCCTACCCCTATTTCTTTATACACATATATTCTTTCTATTTTTGAGATACTCCTAATTTAATTTTTTTTTTTTTATTTTTAAAATAAAAGGTAGAAGGGTCAATTCACCGTGGACATAAAAATAAGTGTGGAGTTCAGTTTTCTAGTTAATGCAGATTTAAATTATTTTAAAAAATCAAACTGAAAATTAAAATATTATAAATAAAAATTTTTATTTTGGCTGATAGTTTTTAAAATTTAATTAAAATATTTTTTATTTTTTTAGTTCTTAAAAATTATTTTTAGAAAACTGAACAAATTAGAGGGACCCTATAATATTCATCTTAGATGGACTTTATAATACTCATTTAGGGACACCAAAAAGATAAATTTTCTTGTACGCCAAAACTCAATGTTGGGTGTCGGCTCCTCAAAATCTTTGAATTTGGCCTTATCAATTCAATTCATCTTTTGAAATCACACCCATTGCATATAAATGCGGGCAATGAAAGCTTGACCTCCCAACCCGAGAGGGATCACAAGCTCGAGTGGGTTTCTTCCCTGTGTTGCGGTGTGTGAATTTCTAGTTATGGTGGCAAAAAACTAGAAATAAAAACTACATAAATACAATATTTGGATTAAATGATTATAATTTACACCTTTTCTTTGTCTTTTTGGTACTCATTTTAATCACACGTTTTTAAGGGCACTACTTTTTTTTTGGCTGGCACCGGAATTCATCTGGGCAGCGCTCCTTCGGGACCCACCTCAGGCTACAAATTGGGGATACTGTCGATGGCCCCACACCTCAGCAACAATTTCAGTCGGGCACTATTGTTGCCTACAAAAAGAATCCATGGTTATTTAGGTCCTTTTTGTGAACAAAGTTGGAGCATAGGTTCGGTATTTTTTTTTTTTTTCAAATAAAAAAACAAGAGTGGGGTTTGCTGTTAAATTCTTAGTAGAGGAAAATGTATTATATGTATGTATGTTTGTATTATTATGTATATGTAATATTATCTTATTAAGTTATTATCTTATTCTTTTTCTTTGCAAAATTATTTTTGGTATCTTTTCTCTAGAAATTTGTCAGAAGCTTTAAAAAATATTTTTGAATAAACAAAAAATTAAAAAGAAAAAGTGGATAATAATAATTAAATTTAGAAAAATAAAAAGAATATGAAGAACACGTACACATATATCTCAACATGCACTCGAAAGGAACTTGACAATGCTGAACCTGCCCAAGAGCCCAAGGCCCCAAGGCCTTGACAATCTCCAAAAAAATCCAATTTCTGTCGGAAAACAAGGTCTTCTAAATGTTGACTAAAGTTTATGATAAACATTAGATCCATTGAATGATGATGTACCAAACAAATTTAATCAAGAATCTAGAATCTAATGAATGATTCATAGAATTTTCCTTCGATGCTAACCAAATAAAAATGTTTGGTGGTTCAGAAGGCTTCAATGTTAAAATATAATTATAGTTCCTAAATAAAAATATTTGTATAATAGAAAGCATATTTTTTTTTTAATTATTTGTATGAAAAGATTCCGGATTATAAACAATGCCTTTGAAAGGTTGACAATGAAACGAATTACTTCTTCTGTCTCGAAATAATTGGACATTTTGTGAGTCACATTTTTTAAAGTGTCCAATTATTTTGAGACGAAAGGAGTAAATTAATTTAATTTGAAAGCTTAATTTAATTTAATTAATTTATTTATTTTGAGTCATACATTTCGTTTATGGTATTGTATGCATTGCAAAATTGAACCAACAAAAAAAATAAATGAAACAAGGTAGTGCTAACAAGAACACTAGAAGCTCGCATTGAGCGGAAGCGCAAAATTGATAATTCACACAGAGTGGGAGTGGGGATGAGAATGAGAAAGGAAGCCAAAGGGTGCTCAAAGTGTGATAATGAAAGTACATTCGAAACGTGAGAATAACACCTATTCAAAAAAATTGTATGGCTTAGAGTTAAACTAATCACTACCTTAGTAAATTTTTTAATTTTTTTCACAAGACTTTTGAAAAAGGCAATTACTTATAATTAATCATTTGATATTCAAGAATTCACAAAGTATGTGATATCAGAGATTAAAAGTAAAAATCAATTTAAAATTTGAAAAAAAAAAAATAGTATTAAAAACACTGACCATGTACAACTTGCCCACACTTACTTTTTCCCATTATAACCAAAAATAATATACTGTATTTTATTAAAATTAGGGTAAAGTGCATCAAACCCCCCTGAACTATTGGGGTATGTGCAAGAAACCCCCCTGAACTATAAAAGTTGCAAAAAAATCCCCCTGAACTATTAGGGTATGTGCAAGAAACCCCCCTGGACTATAAAAGTTGCAAAAAACCCCCCTAAACTATTTGGTATGTGCAAGAAACTCCCCTGAACTGTATATTTTTTTTACAGTTTACCCCATTCGCGCGAATTAATTGACTGAAAGGGACGATGAAGCCGAGGAATTTGTTGCTGGAATCGGTGGGTCTCCTGTCATAGCTCCATCATAGCCGTTGCACCACCAGCCAGATCCGTCGGCCATATATATCGTACTTCTCTGCACCGTTGCGTCAGCCCATCGCCGTCACCGCCTTGCCTGCCATTTAGCTCACCTTGCTTGCCGGTCCATTCCACCATCCATTTCAAGCTCGCCGGCCCATTCCGCCATCTCCATAGTCGAGCACACCACCGTTCGTGTTGCGAGCACACAACCGTCCACAGTTCACCGCCGAGCCCCCCTTGACCTTGCTGCCGCCTCCACAGTTCACGGCCGAGTCAACCGAGCTCTCATCACAACCGAGTCCTCCGCTCACAAGCCTCCATCATTCGAGACCGAGCCATCCCGCCGACCTCAGATTTCTTTGGTCTCTTCTCTCTCTCGCTCTAGCTCTCTGTTTTGGGTTGTGTTGGGTGAAAAACATCTTTTGGCAGAAAAAAAAATTGTAAGAAGTGTATAAATTAAAACGACGCAGTGTGCTATAAGGGTAAATTGGTCTTTCAAAATTTTCGGTGCCGGAAGCTGATGTCATGGTGGTAAATTGCAACAAAATCATAGTTTAAGGGGATAAATCGTAACAAAATCATAGTTCAAGGGGGTTTTTTGTAGTTCAGAAGGGTTTCTTGCAAATGACTAATAGTTCAAGGGGGTAAATTGTAACAAAATCATAGTTCATGGGAGTTTTTTATAATTCAGGGAGTTTCTTGCAAATGACTAATAGTTCAAGGGGGGTTTAATGCACTCTACCCTTAAAATTGTTGTACCAATTGCTTTTATATATTGTATATTGATCTCGTAAGATTAACTGTGCTAGAATATAATGTTAAAAAAACTATCGGTTAGTGCTAAATTATACTATTCTTCTAGTATTGTATTTGTATTGTATTTATTTTTGGGCAATTGTTATGGTACGGTATTATTTTCCATAATATTGCTACAGAAGGGGTATTATAGTAACTTCAGAAGTTATAGCCTGTTTACCAAGCAGAGGAGCCTCCTTGTTATAAGGCCCCAACGGGCTCTCCTGCACAGAGAACTCTCTCTCTCCCCTCTCTCTCTCTCTCTCTCTCTCTCTAACTCTGGTTTGATTCATCCTCCCTTGCCGCTCCTCTGTGTGTCTCTCTCTGTGCTTCTTCTGAGTGATGGGTGTGAGCTCTGCGTACTCTCATAATTATCACATTACTATAATCCTCATCACCAGCTTCTTCCGTCACAAGCCCTAGATCAATTTCAACCCATTTCAACTCTGCTTATTCTTCTTCTTCCATAAAAACCTAGAAATATGATCGTTTGATTCCCCAGAAAATTCAAATTCAGGAAGAAAAAAAGCTATGGAGAGTGGAAGACTCTACCACCATAGTTCCAACATGAACTCTTTACTCCAAAATGAAAGACTCCCTTCTTCTTCTGAGGTTCTTGAGTCTCTCTGGCTCTCCAACTCTTCCCCTTCTTTTCATGGTAATTAATTTTCTCTAATACCCATTTTTCATATACTTTCCTCCTTTTTTGGTTGCAATTTTCTGTTCTTCACTTGTTGTTTTCAATTACCCATGATTGGCTTTTTGTTTTGAAGTTTGAATTATTTCAATTTTTGTCTGTGGTTTTATTTATAAATCAATTGAAAGTCTAACACTTACCCATCTATTTGTTTCTGTATCTAAATCTGTAGTAACCTCTGATTTGTTACTTATTGGATTAAAATGTTTTCTTTTATACTAGTAGAGATCAAATTTTCCTAGTTTATAATGCCATAGATTTTTTTGTTTGTTTAGTTGTTGATGATAAACAGAGGAGCTCTGTTTATTCTTAATGATGATTTGGAAGTGTTGAAACTTTGAATTTATTCTATAATATATTAGGTTATTTTTGTAAAATTGTTGTCTATATTGTTGATTTTCTTTGTTTTGTATTGGAATTTAGCTTGCAGTGTACCATAAAAGCTGTATTTTTTTTTTTTTTTTTTCCTGGTTTATTTCTCTTCCTTGCTTTATATTTTAATAAAAAAAGATTTAGTAATTGAACACTTAATGGGAGTGAAAAATATCCAATAAATCATTCTCTTCTGAATTACCCACTTGTGAATTTTGCAACTAATGTGAGAATCGTATGCTATAATGGTTCAGGTTCATCAACATCCGTAGTTAAATTCGAAGATGCTCGAGGAGGGAACACAACAGATAGATTGCTTTTCCCTCCAATTGACAAGGAAGACAATGGCAATGAGGATTATGATGTGTGCTTCCATCAACCCGAGAAGAAGAGGCGACTCACCACGGATCAAGTCCAGTTCCTTGAGAGGAATTTCGAGGTGGAGAATAAGCTCGAACCGGAGAGGAAGGTGCAGCTTGCCAGAGAACTTGGTTTGCAGCCTCGGCAAGTTGCCATATGGTTTCAAAACCGACGAGCCCGGTTCAAGACCAAACAGCTTGAGAAGGACTATGATTCTTTGAAATCAAGCTATGATAAGCTCAAGGCCGACTATGATTCCCTCCTCGAGAACAATGAAAGCTTGAAAAATGAGGTAGTCCTCCGTAAACACAGACGTTTTCTGAAAACAGTTTTTTATATTTTTTAAACTTGAAAAATGAGGTAATAGAGACTTTGGGATTCGATTACTTGTGTTCTGAAAACAGTTTTCGAGAATTTGATAAAGAGAAGAAAAAAACATCCGGTTTTACACTTTTTCTTTGAAATTAGGCCTTTTTGACTTGATTTTAGTTTTCAAACTTTCGAGGTCCACAATTTTTTATTTACAGTGCTAGTTGGCCTTAATAGTTCATTGTTAATGTTCAAATTGTTCCTTTTTCAACAGGTTCTTTTGTTGAAAGACAAACTGCTTTTCAAAGAGAAAGACAAGACCAATGTCGAACAATTTGATCCCATTAAGCCAGTGGAAGCAGAACCTCAAAGACCAATTCAGGACACGAATTCTGAAAACTTATCGAATGTGGCAATGGTGGCCTGCAAGCAGGAAGATGCAAGTTCAGCGAAGAGCGATGTTTTTGATTCCGAGAGCCCACATTACACCGATGGGAACCACCGATGTTCTTCGCTGTTAGAGCCTGCGGATTCTTCTCATGTTTTCGAGCCAGACCAGTCCGATTTCTCACAAGACGAAGAAGATGATCTCGGGAGGAGCCTTTCGCCGCCGCCTTGCTTGCCAAAACTCGAAGATGATGGGTGTTACGACGACACGCCTGTGAATTGTTACCATCTGGTATTCCCAGCTGAAGATCAAGCCTCTTGGTTATGGCCTTATTGAGTTCTTATCATTTAGGGGGCGTTTTTACATTTCTCAGTAAAGCAATTTTATGTGCTACTCTGCTGTAGTTGATGTTTGAAAGCAATAAAACATGTTCTTTTGTGCTCTCAACCCAGAGTTATGGTCAGCAGTGTTTTATTCTGTTAGGATTTAAATTTTAAAGTTAGAAACTCTCTAATGGATTAAGTTTTTAGACTAGATGGTGATAATTGTAGCCTAAAATTAAAATTGAAAAATGTGTTTACTCTTATGCTCCGTTTGGTACGAAGGAAGAAAATTGGATGAAAGAGAGAGGAAGAGGTGAATAAGATATCCTTAAGGAAGAGATTGTGTGTCTCTTGTTTAGTTGGATGAAAGAGAAGTAATACATTACTTGTTTGTCAGGAGAGTAGAGAAGATGGTTAATTATAAGAAAAGTTTTATAATTTAATTTTTTTTAATAATAGCCAAGCATTTTTTCTTTTGTGTCTTCCGTTCATATTCAGGGGATAAAAATTTACAGAGGAGGAAGGATGACAAATCCATTCTCTTTTCTCTTTTCTCTTTGCTTTCTCTCTACCAAACAAAGTAATTTTGCTTATTCCTTCATATCTTCTCTCCACCCCTCTTCTTTCCTTCCTACCAAATAGAGCATTAAGGACCCGAATAAAAAATTTAAATATTAAAGTTACATAAAAAAAGTTACATTTTCTCTACATTTGGTTGGATGGAAGAGAGGAGGTATAGAGAAAACTTTCATTGTTTGATTGGGAATAAGCGAAGAGTGTGAGCAAGGAAGGTGGGAAAATGTTTTATCCGTGGGCAATATTAAGCAGCAAAGAGGAAGAAAAGAAAGAAAAGAAAGAAAAGCTACTTTACAAATATGTAACACTGATCAGAGTCTTTAATCACTTACAAAATCACATGTTAAATCCTACGAAATTTATATGAGGGTATAAAAAAAATTTGTGTCACACCATCCACTATTTACATTCTCTCTTTCATTCAGTTAAACAAAAAGTTAGGAGGAGACAAGTTTTCTTCTTTAGAGATGCCTTATCCATCCATTCCCTTTCCCTTTCATTTATTTTTTTCATCCCTCTAACCAAATGGAGGATTAACAATTTAAACTTTTAGAGTAGACAATGATTACATTGCGATGGAATTTTTTTTGTTTTCCAGGTCAGCAAATTAATTTTCTGGTTTTGTAGGTGAAAAAGATTGGCTCCACTTAATTTCTGAGTAGTTAGAAGATGACAATTGTCTTGTTTGGCTTAATTGAAAATGGAGAACTTTTAAGTCACTTTCCAGGATAAAGTAACAGTGTCATCAACAGCATTTGGAAGTTTACCTAAGAATGGGGGAAAAAGAAGTTAGGCTCAAGCGTGAGATTTTTTTTCACATTCTGTGTGCTTCTGAAAACTGTGAACCAACACGTGCAAATGGTCTCATAAAACACACCCACTGAATTGTTTTAAAGGCAATTGCTTGTATATTTTAACTTGTGAAAGCAAAGGCATTGTGTTTTCTTAGAACAACGTGACAACACAAAGTTAAGTAGAAAGATGAGAAAAGTGGTGAATATATTCTTTTAAAGTCAATTTTTTTGAATGGTGTATTCCTACATATTCTTCAATTGGCAATGACTTTTACCTTGCTTTTCATTTCATTTTAGGTAAATTTTGAATACGGTAATCTATGCAAATCATACGTGTCAATTAAATCTGAGTGATTTTGCCTCCTGTTTTTAAACCCAGACGACTTTTAACTTACTTTATTTCGACAATCGGGATGTCCGGAGATTTGCCCCAACAAACCTTAGGGATTTACTTTTAACTCGCTTTGCCTACGTAAGAATGTTGACATTCTCACTTCAAATACAGAAAAACGGAAGTCTTGTTTCTCTGTACACATTGTTAATTGTGATGCATTTAGACCAAACATTTGAATGTAAACAGAATCATCTAGGGGATTCAAGTTATGTTACTCCGGGATTGTGTTGATAATAATTATATTTGTATATATACTATACCTTAGATGTTAAAATCTAATATAAGTGTTTTTTTATTCATTGTTTGAAGGAGCTTTGAAGGACTTGTAATGGATGAATCATCATGAATCCATCAAGTATGTCATGGTTGATGTGAAGGAATTCAACTTTACTTTTTTTATTGTGGAACCATACCAAACAATGGTTATTTGATGCTGTAAAATACTTAGTTTTTTGTCAGGGGATATGAATTTTTTTACACTAATGTAGCAATTTCTTGGAGACACTCTATCGAATTAAAATATATATGAATGAAGCCCATATTAAATATGTAACGCACAAGTCAAGAAAAAATGATGTCAATTTCATTAAATTAAGAACAGTAAGGATAAAACATATGTTATGACTATTTGTACGAGAAAAAATCAATTGTACCGATTGTATTAATGACGTGGTGTCACGAACTGATTAGATACTAACAGCTAGAGATAGAATTTATTAAAATAAAATATTTTTATTTATGTAACATGATACAATTGATTAATTACACAAATAATGAAGTATTAAATGTGTACCAACACAGCAATTTAGCACAAAAAAGATTTTGGTGAGAAATGAGGACCATCATGATATACACTTAGAGAGCGTCAGTTTGGGGTACATATCACTTGGGTCTGACATTCATGCTTAAAATATTTGTGCGTGAGCGTGCGCGCCAATTGATTAGCTATTGCATATCTCGCATGTGCCGAATATGGAACGAGAAAATTGAAACATGTCTAACTTTAGAAGTGTATGCACATTATATACATATATTGATAGATATATATATATACATATATATATATATATATCTCATTAAGTTCTCATTGCGGTAATCTTTTGTACATGTAACTCCAACACTTATTTAATGTATATGGCAAATTACACAAAGGACCTCTCAAGTTTTTAATTTGTACATGTAGATAAAAGGTGGTCACAATATAACAGAAAGACTCAAATTAACTGTTTGTGATTAGTGGATTGATATGAATTTACATTTTTGTCCTTAGAGTTAAACTATTTGTTTAATGAAAAATCTAAATTTTTTTTTTTTTGTATATTGTTAAAGTTATGGTTTTAACCCTAAGACTCTATCCCAGCGACCAAATTGCAAAACCCACAAAACTATGTGCAACAAAACCAATCACAGACCCAAATCCAACCACAGAGCCACAAATCATTCCGACCTCATCACAGCCAAGTCTTCTGTTCGAAGCTCGTCACTCCATCACTGCCATCACTACACAGCTCTCCACCGTCCGAGCTCAACCTCGCTCACGCATTCGAGCTCGCCACCGCCTCCATCACAGCCGACATCCGCCACAGCTAAGCTCATCCCATCCGAGCTCGCTATCGCTTCCATCTCAGCCGACATCCTCCATGGCCGAGCTCGTCGCCTCCTCCATTAAAGCTGAGCTCGCCGCCATCATCCTCGAGCTCACAGCCAAAGTTGCAACCAGCCCATCGCCGTCACAGCTAGCCGATATCCACCTTGGCGTGCACAAACTACCGTCGCCAAAGCCAGATCCGTCTCGCCGTGCACTGTCGCAGTTCATCTACAGCCGCTGTCGCTCGACGCCATTGATTCCGGCAACTGGGTTGAGTGAATCAATCGCATCGCGACGCTTATCCAAGGGCAACGACTTCTTCTCTTCGATGACAGTGGCGATTGAGACGTCCTCGACGCGTTAACACTTCAGATCGGGGAGCGAATCGGCAATTCCTTTATTGCATTTCATGGTGGCGAGACGCGACTCCGGTTTCAACTAACAAGCTTGGTGAGGACTGTGATATTCTGACCATGGCAAGACAATTTTTGGCATTGGTGACGGTTTTGGGTTGGCTTGGTTCGGCTTTAATCTGTGTTGGGGTTTTGTGGTTTGGGTCTTGCGTTTGGGTTTTGTGAATTGGTTTTGGTTACGGGTTTGCAATTTGACAATTAGGGTTTGGTTGGGTGAGGACAACAATGATGGGACTATAATATGTGTGTTGTAGGCGTCGCCGGGAGAGAGGATGAAAGCCTCGCCGCAGCCGTTGTTCTTCCTCCAGACGAGAGAGATAAGATGAGTTGAGATGAGATCTTTAATCTTGTGGTGTTAACGTGGTGGTGTTGAAGGGCTGAGGGGAATGGGGGCGGTGGCAGAGGTGGAGGAAAGAGGTTGTGAGATTGTGGAAGCAGAGGGAGGGTGGTGGATGTTATAGTGGAGAGAGGGTGGAATGATGTGTTTAGAGAGAGAAAAGAGGAATGATGTGGTAGGGAAGCAATGGGGTGTACCCAGGGGCAAAAATGAAAATTTTCAATATACAATATCTTTTCTTTTTTTCATTAAAAATAAATACTTTAATTTTAAGGTCAGAAGTGTAAATTTATATTTATTTTTTGTGGTCAAACGGTCAATATGGATCTTCTTGTAATATTGCTATAACTTCTATGTACATGCACAATATGAAAACCTCGTGGGTGGTTTGTGTAATTTACCTTAATGTATATTCAGAATGTCCCAAAATTTATGAATAATAGATATCCTATATACATCAATTTCAAAATTATTATAGAGTGAAAGATGAGCTAAATTAGGGTTAGAAGGCACTCAATGTGAGAGAATCTAATGAAGAATAGAAGTGCACACAAATCAAATTAATTTGATTTATCTATAAAACTTAAACTAATTCATGTCAAATAACAATTTTATAAAACGTAAAATCGAATCGAAGTGAACAACAACACCGAACCTTCATGACATAGAATTGTCTTCATAAAATTAAGTCTTTTCATTGATAAAAGGGCAAATTTCTCAAAACCCCCAAAACTATCAAAAAATGATCATAAAACCCCAACCAGTTTTTAAAACCCCCAATAATATAACAACGTTATCATTTTACCCCAATTCTGTCAATTGGCCTCGTTAACCCAGCACATAGTTAACAATTACTTTACCAAATTGAATTTTGTGACCAAAATACCCCTGAATATCATATGGCAAATAAGTAATATATATTAAAATGTGTTATTCCGAAAATACCCCCAAACTTGTCACAGTTAAAACACGTTTTGGTCATCTTTTCCCTCCTCCTTCTCATTCTCTCTCTGTACTGGCTA